GGGGGTTGAGATGCACAGGCTGCAGTTGAGACGCTGCACACAGCTGATCGACAGCTGGGACACAAACCACCAAATACAAAAACGTAATTCAGATCCAGTCGTCATGACTCCACTCCGGAGGGATTCCCCGATCATTTCTTACAGTTTCTCATCAAGGGGGGGGGGTCTCCTGTCCCCGGTACAAACACACTGCCTGAGGAAGGCTATGTGTATTTTTTTTGTCATTAACCTTTTTCGGACCACTTATTTATTTATTTTGGTGACGATCCGACCTCCATGCTGCTCCTCTGGTTCAAAGGGAAACAGGCGTAGGAAGTGCCATACGCACTTCCCTCGCCGGTACGCAATGTACACAAATGTAGGAACATTTCTGTACCTATTTTTTTTATTTCTACTACGTAAGCAACCTTCCCACGTGAATCCTACGCACGGCGTTATAAATGAGGCCCCTGGTCTCTAGTAATTGTGTGCTCAAAGTGCTCCAGATTGAAGCATTTTACTTTAAAATGTTCAAAAAAATCTTCCCAGGGGGGCATACCCCCGGACCCCCCTAGAGGAGGTGATGTCCACCCCCTAATTAAAACATGTTCATACAATACTGAATACATTTGAAGCCATTTTGACGTCTATTACCTATGTCAATAAGTTTCTGTTTTTGTCTTTTGTAGAGATTTTTCATTTATTCTTTATATATAAAATCTCACCTAGGGCAGCAAATTGTCTAGAACCGGCCCTGGTGCTAGGCCTCAAGAGCCTTTCTTGTGCTGACACATAGAATCAAATTGGCGGGGCGCACTTCGCACACACTAAATAAATCCATGCGCTCCGCGCTCACATTCTGCTGGGCCCACGTGCCTTAGCACCGCTGCTATCACTCCATCCGTGGGGGAAACACTCGCCCCAATATTCTCCTTTCCTTTGAGCAGTGACTCACTCCTAACCTACAGGAAGGTTAAAAAGTAATCTTTCAAAAATCAAAGGGGCATTCCTCAGAAACCGAACCTCAAGCATTGAAGGCTCTGCTCAAAGTGAGGAGTTCAGGTTTACTGGGGTCTTGTTCACAGAGTTTAGATTAGTTTGAGATCGAGAATCCATAGGTACAGTCTTTCTTAAAGGTTTGTACTCACTTTCCGTGNGGGTGTCTCCTGGCCCCGGTACAAACACACTGCCTGAGGAAGGCTACGTATTTTTTTTGTCATTAACCTTTTTCGGACCACTTATTTATTTATTTTGGTGACGATCCGACCTCCATGCTGCTACTCTGGTTCAAACTGCATCCACCAAACAATATGGTTTATCTCGACCTCCCCACAATAACCAAAATCTGACACGGTGTGAGATGTTTTTTTTAGCTGTTCTGTCGTCATTTCCTGCGATCTTCTCAATGCAGTCAGTCAAAATCAATGAATGAAAGGGCGTTTCTTTGACTATTTATAGGCAAATATGGGCGTTACGTGAAGCCCGCCAAAGCTGCACTGCATTTCGAGTCGGTTGTGATTTATAAAGGGAAACCGGCGTAGGAAGTGCCATACGCACTTTCCTCGCCGGAACGCAATGTTTGGTGAATCGGAAAGTGGCGGAAAATGTATGGACCTATTTTTTGGATTTCTACTACGTAAGCAACCTTCCCACGTCAATCCTACGCACGGCGTTATACATGAGGCCCCAGGTCACAGTGATTTGTCTGCATCCCATGCCACATTCAGGTTAGAATAAATCACCAGCCAATCATAAACGGCTATGAAATAACTAGCCTCTGTGGCGGGGAAATCCCTCTCAAGTTCTTCCTACTGGAGAAGCAAAAAAAAGCATGTCATCCCCTCTTCTCCTTTTCTGTATGAATCTTGGAAGTTAGAACACAGAGTCCTGTATGTGTGTGATTTGCCTCCCCCCCCTCCGGTGTATTAATAGCAGACAGGCTCTACTGGTGAGCCAAACTCAATAAGCCTGTTGCACTCAGCAGAATGACAGTTTGATTCACAGCCTTATGATAAACTGATGGAGCTCCGATGAGCTGGTGTCTAGGAGGGTCCTTGTGAAGGAGGTATATTTACCAAGGTTACCTAAATATAAACAGATCAGGGGCATACTCCTTTATAATACTCCCAAGTCCAAGCACCACCATGTGTGTGTGTGTGTGCCAATAAAGGTTGATGATTGATATAGTGTGAAAGGGGATCTAAAATTAGGATTGGAAAAGCATTGCCAGTAGCTAGCTGCTACTGGCTGGTATAACCAGTTCCCATCAAAACAAACATGGAGGTCAAACATCCCTTCAGTCTACCAGCACCATGGCATTTATTCCAAAAAAAAATTGACTGGCTTTTTGCAGCTAAATAAACATCCATGTAAGATTAATTAACACAAATGATTGGTGTGATAGAGTACTGATTCAATGTCATGACAAAAGGGAGGAAATTGAAGCTGTGTTGGTAATAGAGAGACAGAAATGTGTGAGGATGCACTCTCGGGAAGAACAATAAGCAAAACACGCCCGTCTCCTTTCATACAGCTACAGCCTGGGAATTACTTGTTTTCTGGATGTGTCTAAACACCGAATCATTGTTATGATGCTATCTCTGCCCAAGAGATTAGCATTAGATTACCTCAGCTTCTCCTTTTTTAAAACCACAACCGGTCATTGGAAGAAACTGGAAACCTGTTAACAAGTGCCAATCTAGTTAAATACAAGAAGAATACTTTATTAATCCAGGGGGCAATTGGGTTTTGTGAAAGTTACTCCCTTTTAAAATATATTTATCATTTATATAAACACAAGTTAAAGGGAGAATGTGCAATACAGAATAATTAAAAATAAAATACTGTATATACATCTCTATAGAAAGGAGATGATATCCAGAAAAATATAACATTTAAATTAAATATATAGTTTGGAAAAACTGATTCCCCAATGTTAGTCTGCAGTGGCTTTCCACCACACAGTTGTTAAAACCAGTGCATGCTGAATGTACAAACGCTATTTAAACATGTGTGACCGCAATTTATCAAGCGTGCAAGGCCTGCTGTACTGGAAGCAGTGCGTGGGCGGGTGTTATGTACAGATCCATCCTTCACATTATATGGTAAAGACACATTGGAACACACACGTGACGAAAGCCCCTCGAAAGCATGTTTAATGTAGCTGTGAAACTCTTACTAACATGCATCATTTAACAAGGATGTGTGTCTGCAGGACACATCGGCCTTGACATCTTCAAACCAGTTTATATGTGCAAACCCCTGCAGGCCGACTCAAACCATATAGCCCTTAAAAAGTCGGTGTCTAGACAGAATTACTGTTATGTGGACTGAACAACATTGTAGATACTATTCTGAGTTCAATTAAGAGAGCCAGACTGATATGTAAATCAATAAGAATATAGAGACAAACACACGAGGGAGAGGAATTTAGAAACACTGTGGGGCAAGATTTGAAAAGAAGAAGCAACACATAGATGAAAGTGGCAGATTATGCACAATCTGAAAGGAAGCTGTGCATAATGTTTAGCAAATATGGCTTTATTAGGGAAGCAACATCTCATTACACAACAATAGTCATTTATTAGAAGATACTTACAAATCTGGAAGAGTTGTCGTTCCTCACTGTTTTGGCATTTCCGAAGGCTAAAAAAATGAAAAAATGTTGGAAACATTTCAATTATTTATTCTAATCCCACCAGTGATAGCAAATAAAACCCCAACAAATCAAAGCTTGTTTACATGCACACCCAAACACATTCAGAATTTCGCATTGTGCCTCACTGCAAGTGCTGTCAATCATGCAAGGGCTGGATGTCGAAGCTATTTGTACAGATGAAGCCCCCATAATTCTGTATGGATTAAGCAAAGCACCAGGGCTTTCCAGATTTAGGAGAGCTGAACCTTGCGGTCACACCACGTTCGAGTTCAAGTGCTTCAATATGTGCCATTGCTTATAAACAAACAATAACAAAAGGTGACATTCAAACACAGAGATGTAAAGGGTTAAAATGCATGTGTGTCATGTTATGTGCTTTCGATAACCTTTTAGAAAAGTATTATCCAATCCATAGTCCTTTCAATTTGCTTCCCACATTTCTACATTGAAATACCATTACTGTGTCATACTGCACGGCACTATGAGCATAACTGCTGATAACGCCTGATTGATGTGTGTTTAAGTCTTAAGAATGAAACCAATAAAGGTTCTGAAAGAAAACAGAGTCACAGAGAGTGAACATAACACGAGATAACTGTGCCTCCCCCGCTCCTTCTTCTTCAGCAAATTAGATTGAGGGGTAATGGGGGGGGGGGTTAAAGTCTTGCAGATGTGCAGCTTTTCTGCAGCGACTCAGCCCGGGCATACAGCTTCATCATTCATGGGCATTTCCTGTCCACTGCCCCCAATTATAATACAGCTGTTCCTGTTCCTGTGCCAGCACTGAGGGATTGAGACAGTGTGTGTGTGTGTGTGTGTGTGTGTGTGTGTGTGTGTGTGTGTGTGTGTGTGTGTGTGTGTGTGTGTGTGTGTGTGTGTGTGTGTGTGTGTGTGTGTGTGTGTGTGTGTGTGGAGGAGTAAAGGAAATGAAAGTAAGGGCTTTATTGGACTCCAAAAGTTATTTTGCTGATCAGCTTACTTCCCTCTGACAGTAATATTTGACATGCTTATGCGTTTGTCAGTGTTTGAAATCTAAAAGTTATGTTTTGCAGTTACTATGTGTTACTGTGTGCAGCGTTTGAGCTGTTAGCAGAGACTTAGCCGCTGGATTAGCTTGATGAGTGTGATTGGCGTTCGCTCACCCTCCAGCACGGGATTGGACTGCAGCAGCTGTTCCTTGACCTTGTTCACCTCCTGGCCCTTCCCACACACCGCTGCCACGTATGACATCACCAGCTTACTGGCCTCTGGAACACACACGCACACACACGGATAAATATTAGGTCAAATCCTTCACTAGACATGACAGCAACTGACGTGCCCACCCGTCTAAACATCCCCGTAAAAAAATCCCCCTGACCTCCTCTCCCCTGACACCCATCAAGACAGGGTGTGGCTCATTCGTTTTTTCTGGGGTGCAGAGATGAGGAAGAGGCCCAATGATGGAGGCCAACTTTTTATGTTACCAATATTGCATCAGGTTATCATCATTCAAATGATTTTAATGGTAACAAGAGGACAGAACATTTATTTGGATCGACCGATGATCCCTGCTCATCTACTTTTTGTGTTCCAACTGAAAGGGGATCTGAAAGACTCAGAGAGAGGGTGTTTTGAGTTCAGAGTGTTCGAAAAATAATAATTTTCTGGATGATATAACGCGACATGGGCTCAAAAGGCATCTTGTGCTGCCTGTCTGAAACAAGTGCCATGCCTTGTAGGATGACGGTTGTTGGCATCGGGATCATCGCTCCTGCCCGGCAAGATGACAGTGACCCACAACTGATGATGTGGCCAAGCAGGGATAAAAAAAGATTCTGACAGTAGACGCTGGTACAGACTGTTGATGAGCCTGGCATAGAAAAAAACCGCTCCAGACACGCTCTCACACACATTTCCAGAAAGAAGAGGTAGCACAATAAACTAGACAATAGCACCATGTTATGTCTCCTGTCCGCTATTGCCTGCATCTGATAATAATGTTCGTCACAGCTCCGTGCTCCTGTACGAGTCACGGCAAGATGGAGCACAATACATGAAAGCCAATGACCCATATCGATGGTGTCGGCACATTTTTGATGGCCTTATTCCGCAACATAGCTTGGAGGCCGATGAGATTACTGAAATCCAAATGTATCTCCTCGAGTTGGCTGAACGGCTTCTTTGAGTTTTTTTTTTTTTATATCCATTCGAGGCCGAGAGACCCCAAATGAAAGCTTGGTGCAAAAACATGATCCGTCAAACTGCACCGTTGCATTTCTTGTCTCATTTGTATTTTTGCGCCCCTGTATTTCCCTACTGAAATGGTTTTTGTGGCTGTCGGACTGTGTCATACACTGTTGACAGTGTTGACAGTGTTTTCTTGTTAAAACGGTCGTGTGTCTTTGAGATGTTTGCTGCCAAAGTGCCACAAGGAAAATTAGGGTCGGTAAAATCTGAGCCACAGCCAGAGATCAATGTGCAAATAGTTCACGGGCATCAGCAGCATGAAAACAGTGCGTCGTATTATCAATACGGGAAATGGATATGACATCAGTGCAGTATGTGATGGATTCAAATTAAAGTAGGGTGGTGACACCCATGCATAAACAAAGAGACATAACTTTAATGGAATGGTTTATTTATGAATCAACACTGGGGACCTTCTTGGTTTTGGTTCCTTTATGTCTAATTGAGAGGAAACTGTGACAATCACAAGTTTGAACTTTTTGCAGTATGATGATCAGGACTTATGGAGGTAGATCTGTCTTAATATTATTTGTGTCAACAGATAGATATTTCGGGAGCTAATGTGTAATCTGTAAATGTAAAACACCTTCCAAAAATGCAAAATAATTATTTGTAACAAATATAAAAGTAAATCTGCAAATACGCAAACACATTACACAAATAACAAGAAAATCTGTGAAAACCAACAAGTTTGTGATCTACAAACGCATTTTCGATCCACAAATACAATCTGGATTAACAAATGCCTGAACAAGCATTGTTAATGTAAGTTTTCACAGATTTTCTAATTTGTTTATGTATTTTAAGATTTTCTTTCTAAATATTGAAACAAATCTACCCCCATAAGGACTTTAGTCAAAATTCCCACATATTCCCACGGTGGTAGTTAATGTTCATATCATATTTATGGCAATTTTGCTCACCCTCTAATTAAAGCCACATGGCCAGTTTTAATTGCAACCAAATGGACATTATTACAAATCACTCCCACACTTAAATCTGTTGCACACATGCATATCCAGTGTGTGAGTTTCATGCTGACAGTGATTTTTCCAGCATCATAAAGTCGAGGCCTTCTTACACTACTGTAAATGGTTTTGGAGAGGACAAAACACACATTCATCGAATGGTTAGGAAGGCTACGAAAATAATTAGCATATACTCTGGATTCAGTCAAGCAACCTGAGGGCAAGGGTCAGAATATTAAGTATGAATGCGTGTCTGTGATTTAACTGTACAGGAAGGTATTTTATGAGTGGATTACTGCCGCTTTCCTTCGGTTTGTGCTCTGCCAACTGAAAATGGCTTTTTACCTGTGACACTACACTGTTAACAGAGACCAGGAAATTCCATTCCTCTTGGGTTTCTGTAAGGTATGTGAAACTGCCTCAGAACATGGCCACATTATTATAAAATGTGACGTGAAAGCAGCTGCCTTTAGCATCAGCAGGCTCCATTTAGTGCCTGTAGTCCTACACACTTTGCAACATGAGCTTTTATGTATTTTAACTGTATGCTCCTGTTCTACTTTGATTTGTCTACGTCTATAATTTTCCACCCGCTCTATAATACAGGTCATCACAGAGTTACAGTCACGTCTCTACATGAGGTTCTCAAAAACATGGAAATCAAAAAGGTAGATCTTATCAAAACGAGCAGTGTGGCTTTATACATAACAACCCTTATCTTACAGCGGCCTTTACAAATAATTTTTGACTACAATTAAAACAAAGCACTGCACACAAAAAGAGCTGAAAATACAAGAAAGCCTAATGGTAAATTTAAACTCTACTGTGATTTATCAGCAAGGATAAAAAAAAAAAAAAAAAAAGGTACACATTTTTCCCCCTTACATTTTCATAAAGAAGAGCTTTCATGTAAATTCTGGCAGCAGATGCATTACCTATATCAAAAGCCAGCCTTCAGGTAGGGAAAGATCCCAAGTAGGAATGGCTATATCGTTGTATAGAAGAACAGTGGTGCTCGCTGGCAGTGTGCCTTGTCTGATATCGAGTATTATACACATAATACGCAATTTTTAAATACTTAAAGCATATGAAGGTTTGATGTCAATAGGGATTTAGCGTTTGATTATTTCAGTCTGCGTCTCCTGTTTAGGAGTCCTTCATTGTCCATTGTTCAGCAGTGCCAAATTATAAGCAGGAACAAACACTTAATAAAACGTAAAAATAAAATCAGTATTCTCCGTTGCTGCTCGACCGACTTAGCGGTCTGCGAGCCACTGATGTTTTGCTCAGTTTGTTTGTCTGATGACTTAAGAACCAGACATTCATGACGTTTTGACCCGGTATCTAAAATATTTACCGCTGTCTCTCTTTTCCAAATCAAACATCCCGATGTTTAGAACCAGTAAAAACACAAAAATGATGCCATTTCAAATCTGTCTTTCTACAATGATCTCAGTTTTCTCTGATAACGTAAGATCAAATGATGTTAAAGGCCGTTTTGGCTGAAAACAAGAGCAAAGAGGATGCTTCTCTGAGGTCGACAAGGTTCATTGATTACACTTACTCTACAAAATAACCTTGATTAAAATTATGGATATTTCTAGGTTAGAAAATGGTTAGGAAACATTTTGGACATGCAAGTAAACTCAACAAAAGTGAGTTTAGACAAAAACATTACATATTATGACTTTGAATTTTCAGACGTTATGATAAAAGGAGTTAAAATTTAGCCACATACCAGTTTTCCCAGCCCCACTCTCCCCTGTAATGAGGATGCATTGGTCCTTGTCCTGGTCCCTCAGTGAGCGATAGGCCTCATCTGCCAAAGCATAGCTGGAAGACAAAAAGGTACAACATCATAAGCTTTTAGATTACAATCTTATTTTCCAAGTATTTTCCTTGATACTTTTAGGGGGGGTGTAGACACAATGGGGTAAAGGAAGTTCATAGGGAATGATCCACTCCTGTTCCAGGCCGCATGGCGTCTATCCTAATCAATAGCATGTGGATTTTTTGGAAATGATGTCGCATCTGTAGAACAGCCACAAGACTGTGAGGACATGGCTTTATTTAGCTCCCCCGGCTGGTTCCCATTTGAGAATTTGGGATTTTAAAGTTGGAATATTGACCAGTTCTTTTTTTTACTAAACCTATCTTCTCAACTAAAGCTCCTGAACCAAAACAGTTGCATGCTTCCCCCCCCCTTATATAAACTGTCTTATATAAATTGTTTTAACTTTCACGTAATGACTTCTGGAACTGTTCCCAATACTATAAAAAACAAATCTGATATAAAAAAAAACTCTGGCAGGTGTTTGAATTATGCAATTAGTCAGAGTGAAACAAACCCTTGTTGGATTACTGAATGATAAAAGTAGAGCACCTTTTATAAAGTGAAACCTATTGTCAAACATTCCAGGACAGTGACACAATGGGAAAGTGGGCATGATTATTGTAGTTGCCCCCCCCCCCACTGAATTGCCAAACAATATACTATTTGTTCTCTCTATTCTGACTATCCCTGATGATGGTTTGAGAGAAGGGTGTGGATGGTGTGATGGCCATATCACAATGACAACATTATTTATCTAGTATGGGACAATAGTGTTTGATTTCAATGTGATACACCCACAAAGAAGGAACACTAAAGGGTGAGGCCGAGGCAATTGCTTTTTTACGGCTCCCACTTGGCAGGCGAACAGTCATGTACAGTGCTGCAAGTAGTGAGTTCCAACTTTCTCCTCCAGCAAGACACAAGACTGCAAATTAGCTTTCTTCGTCCCCCTGTTCCCCCCTGTACTTTGGCATTCATTGCTTTGGAACTTTTTCCAAAGCCACGTCTGGTAATAAGTGGGATTGTGCCTTGTACTTTTTGAGAAATTGTTAGTTTGAGACAAGGTGAAGTTGAGTTTGAAGAATGTATCATTTAAGACCTTCATGATGATTACTGACAGTGTAAAGGAGAACTGCTTTGAGTCTGTCTGCACTGGTGGCCCATCAGTGGACAAGGGATATGTAACTGGACAGAACATCAGAGGGGTGTTTGTTGGTCACTTTGATGTTCCAAAAATAAGTCTGGAGGGGCAAATTCTAAAAGAATGGAGTGCGGTGTCTAATAGCTCCATGAATTGTGCATTATCCTTGTAGCACAAATGCGCTTCAAACGCTATTTTAATACAAATGTACAATAATCAATTAATTTAAATATGTGCAAATAGCACAAGCGCACCGAGCTATATACGCTTGACAGCGCAGATAGCCATTGCTTTGAGAATAACCAGTATCCATTTGTCTCATTTGCACAGGTTAAGCCTTAAGCATTGTGAATCAGAGGCTACTCAGTATTGGCATATCCAGCCATGCAGTGGGGTGGTTTGTGAACTACCTCTCTGAAAGGTGATGTGTTCACTTTGATGGGCTGTCTTCTGAGTGGTTGAACATTGCTAATGGTGTTCCTCAAGGTTCTGTTTTAGGTCCACTTTTATTCTATCAACCGTTTAAGTGAAAATGTGGATGAAGCTACTTTACATTTTTATGCGGATCATACCGTGATGTACTGTGCAGGTCCCTCCATTCAGGAGGCTGTTGTTAAATTACAGGCTGTTTTTAACATTATTCACACTCAGCTCGCTGAGCTTAAACTTCTTTTAAATGTATATAAAACCAAGGTAATGCTCTTTTCTAAAGCTAAAAAGACTACAGACACTGCTTTGGATATTGTTACTATGCAAGGACAAGTACTCGAAGTGGTTACCTGTTATAAATACCTAGGTATTTGGCTTGATGATTGTCTTACTTTTAAACTTCAGGTCATTAATCTGCTTAAAAAGCTGAGGGTTAGACTAGGTTTATTTTTCAGAAACAAGTCCTGTTTCTCATTTGAAGCCAGGAAAAGGCTAGTCTCTGTGACCTTTTTACCTGTGCTGGACTATGGTGATTTGATCTATATGAATGCACCTGCCCATTGCCTGGAAAAGTTAGATGCCGCCTATCACTGTGCTCTGAAATGTGTTACTAACTGTAAAGCACTTACTCATCACTGTACCCTGTATGCCAAGGCCGGTCTGCCTTCACTAGCTGTACGGAGGCTCAGTCATTGGTACATGTTCATTTACAAAGCCATGTTGGGTAAACTACCTTTTTATATCTGCTCCCTGATCTCTCGACAAATTGAAAGTACTTATTGCCTGAGATCTCATGATGTTGTTTTATTAAATGTGCGAAGTGCTAGGACTGTCTTAGGGAAGAAAGCTTTTAGTTGTGCAGCTCCACTAAATTGGAACAGTCTGCAAACATGTTTAAAACTGAGCACTTTGGTTCCCCTGCATCATTTTAAAACTCGGCTGGGTGACATGCTGTTTGATACTCATGGTCACTGTAAATAGAGTTTGTAAACTGAACCCTGTACATTATGTTGTATGTCATCCTTATTGTTGTTCTGTTGTTTTTATGTTACATGTGTAACTAATGTCCTGCAGGTCACCCTTGAAAAAGAGATCTTTTGATCTCAAGGGGCTTTCACCTGGTTAAATAAAGGCTACAAACAAGCCGCTACAAAAACAGTGAAATACTATTGTAAATGTGCCTTTCATTCATAGAATCGTCTCAACCGCTAGTTTACACTCCTCTTCAACAAAGCAAGAGCTTTGTTTTAGTTGATCGAGTTCACTTTTAGAGTAGAAAAGACTAAATGAAAGTTTAAAATCCCCAAATCAAAGTCTCTGAAATATTAGTCTACCAACCAATGGGTGAAGTCTCGTTGATCATGTCCACTTCTTATAATGTTCTATGGTTACAAGCTGATAAAGCCATCATCTGCCCTGCTAAAGAGGCCTCGAGCCAGATGATAAATCCCTACCATCTACACAGGAGTGTTACGTCTTAGTAAAAGTCAATGCTCCTGGCTTTATAACCGTAAAGGGCTTAATCTTCCACCTTTTTAACTATCAAGCTAAGATTAACATCTTAAGTCTTACGTTGCACATTGAGTAGAGGGTAAATATAGCTTGCGGTAATTTTGGAGGAATGCTTCGAAATAGTCTCTCCCCAGTGTCTAATTTGGTCTAATTCCTCGCCTGGAGGGAAGGGGCACTCACCAAGAGTCCCAGATCTGAGTAATGGCATTATTCACATATTCATATGCTCTAAAAATTGCTAAACACGAAAGCAGGAAGGAATGTCTGACATTGACAGACGCTAGCATGGGTTTTTGTACAGCACTAAATACCCGGGTGTGAAATTGTAAGGGAAATCGGAGCATGGTTTGCTGAGATTGACATGTATGCAAGGCTTTGGTCTGATTTAAGCACACAGCATATCAACATGTAGCATGGGACCAACCAGCAGGCTAACTGGTTATACAGGGTTTAAAGTGATTTCTAAGGGAGTTGTTCATACTGTAGAGTGATGCTGCAGAATTCAAATGCAATGTGCTCATCAAGCTTCCACAAATACACTAGGGCATGGAAAAATAAGCTAATGTCTAAAGAAAAATCTAATTTGGGGTACGTATTAGTGCAGTGAGTGTGGTTAGGGTCAGAACTTTGGAGCATATAATCACACCCTGAACTAACACTGACCTCCAATTGAAAAGTAGCTGATTGTAAGTAAGAAGTCATGGTAGAGAGGGGCCAGAGATGGACAGCCAGATGAATGCATTCCAGGCCACAATACAGAGTTAAAGCTGAGGCTGACTAATGGGCTTAGGGTTCTGCACCATCACACATTGTTCTGGAGCAGAGCCCATGTAACCGTTTCCCTCCCTCGTCAGCCCCCATTAGGCACTGCACCAATAGACCCTCAAAAATATGAGGGTATGCAAAATCATAAGTAATTCACCTTTAGTCAGAAGAAAACTGGTGTTTTGATATTTATAATACCCGTCCTGACCTGTTGAGTAAGATTGACTCCCATCCCAAAGGAAACCCGATATCCCAAATCCCCCCAAACACATCAGCCGCTATCCTACTTTTTAATACATGCTTTAAAAAAAAAAGAGGTTTTAAAACCATCATCACATGACAAGTAAGGTCATGGGAGGAAGAGTTATGATTAAGTCTTTGTCTTGGTTGCAAATATGTATTAAATAGATTAAACTTCAATTGCCATGCTTATTGTGGCTCATTGAAACACCCAATGTGTTCTGGTGAAAAATAATATTGAACTGTTGAATTTCTTTTGAAAAAAAAGGTTGAAAAAAAACAAAAACTTTTTTCAACAGTAACAAGGAATGTTAAATGTAGACTTGAGCTTCTCTCAGTTGCATCAAATATTTGTTTTGTTTCCGTTTAGCACAAACCTCTCCCTCAGAATTCCCCACCCCCACAATTTCTGATCACAGCCCAGCCCCTACCCTGTCCTGTACACTACGTTCATATGGATGAGTCTCGCCACAGGACATTACGTCACTGTTGAAAAGTGCAGCACAGCGCAGCAGATGTCTGCTTTGTGAAAACACTCCCAGTGCCTGACCTGATCCTGACAATGAGCAAACCATCACACAATTACCTCACCCCCAGAGGAGGCCAGTGGGAGGGGAGTGTACCAGAAGAAGGTAATGGGTGTAAAATATGAGTGGGAGGTCCTTTACCAGAGACAAACACATATACAGAGCCAGTCAAATGAATATGAATGGCTGTAATCACAATATGAATAGAAGTGGGCAGTAGCAAGGGGCCACACCCAAAACTGTGCAGATGAAGAAGAAGAAATCACAGCGACATCTGATCTTTTGCAAAAAACTATTCTGTATTTTCATTCACTCGTACATGAGCTTGACAAACGAGGCAGAATTAGAATTAATGACCGTCCCTGTGGCTATCATTAAGCCCATG